GTAGTTTGTACTGAGAACCAATTACTTCTTGAAATTGAAGTGCAACCTTCACGAAGGATTTATCTGAATATCAACGGACCCATGTCTCTTCACTCATACACAGTCTTAAATGAGAGTTGAAAGTAGCTCGATGTCTACGACGCAATGTATAGGACAGAAAATTTCCAATCATAAATGTATTTCATTTCTACCCTGACCTTCAAGAAAAACAGAAGTTTACAAAAAGTCCGCGTGAAAACAGACTTTTGCGAGCGAACCAATGATTGACCAAGACTGTGATTGTAATTTCACTTCGAATGCACTTGCTGATCTTTGCGGATAATCTGTCTGTCTCAGACGAAACTAGTTGTAATATGAGATCTTGCTCCTCTTATTTGTAATCTAATGCAGTGGGGTGACATAACGATATCGAGAGGAGATCGAGGATAATACCATGTTGTCAATTGCAATGACTCTGCGTAAATCTTGTTCCTCTATCACTGAAGTGGAACATAATATGCAATTTTTTTCAAAACATCATCTCGACTTGCGGAGTTTCATCACGACCAAGCAAAACAAGCTCTCTTTCAAAGGAACCTAATGATTTCCCGGAACATATCAAGAGAACCGGAGGAAATAAGGTTAATTCGTAGCAAATGAAAGAAGCAAAGAGCTTATTCGTGCATCATTTCAGCCAAATGCAACAACTGTGGCGTGTTTGATGAGTGGCTTTTTCTAACACCTAGCAATAATACATGTTATTTTCATAATTGCCTGTATTTTCACCGAATTTCAAAGGATTAGTCATCATTTAATTAATTTGGTCCCAATGATTACGGGTCGGTAACTACGCCGGGCATAATTTGACGCCTCTCAGCGGTAGCATATCGAGTTCAAAATAGCAACAATTTATGCGGAGCACAACAAAAGTTCTTTTTGCGAGAAAACGCAAAGTGCAATTAGGTCAAGAATAACTTCCGTTTTAGTTAAAATACTACAAGTCTCCATGGAGATTGGTGATGTGACGTCAAACATCACGTGTGCAACAGGTTACTTGTATTGTTTTCAAGCTTTCTTGGCATTTCCTTTCAGGAAGCTCTCAGGAAGCAGACGAAATTTGCAATAAAACAGAGATGTCTGGTTATATTAAAACATGCAATAGACTAAACTGAATATTACAACCTGTTAATTACTTGTTACTGAACGGCAATGATGTCATCAAGTCACCTTAGATTTTAAAGTTTGCGCTTTATGAGGCGATAGTGTAATGCGCGCGGAACGAATCGCTAAAAGAGTGGTCGACTTAAAACCTTAATTCCCGTTGTGATGGACAAAATGAAAGCTCATTTCCGGTGAAACTCGACAAGCGGGAGATATACAGATTGAAACATCACTAACAACGATGAATTCATTAGCCGATTGAAAATAAGAAGAAGCGTTTTAATTACTCCGAGCAAAGATTTGCGTTGGTATTTAAAGCGAGCCGTTCTGTGGCTTTAAAGAACGGTTATCTATCCTAGGAATCTTTACTTTGCCGACGTTAAAATCTGTCATTCACCCTCTCGGATAATAATTGTCTCCTTCTTGGGTCTCCAATCTGTTCGATAACCCAATTTCACTGGTGCTGGCCTCCAAGTACCGTCTGATTCAGAAACAGGTAATTGATAGAGATCAAATAAAACAACTTAGACCAATGTGTATGTGGGCAACTTTGTAGTGCATCATAATTTGTTCTAATCAATTACCAGCTATTTGTCCTTTCGTTAATATTCAGAGCAAACAGCACCATCACAAACATTACCGATCTCAATAATTAAATACCTTTTTTTAATAGTCAATTCTCTAATGGTTTTCCAACCGCACTGTCGCACTTTTTTAATTGATAAGGAGACGTTTAAAGGGTTTCTTATCAAAATTAGGCGTTTCGCACGATTTATTTTGACGCGAAGTTTACCCACTTGTAAGAAAATGGCTCTGTGACCCACAAGGGGCGGGAATATTTTAACCTGGTGCTCTACGCCAAATAAACTTAAAAGCAATGAGGCGAAAGATCCGTTGGTTTTTTCTCTGACTGATATCTAGGGATAACCTGAATTCAGGCGCAAGTAGTAAGCAAGTGTAATCTATAGTCTTATTGGACGGGCGCGTTTCACTGGGGGTGTTACCGTGCTCGTTACACAGAGATCAGCGAATATAAACTGTAGTAACTCACCTGTAGTCACTGGATCTACCCTGACTCAAGGCAAAGGTCCTTTGCTCATTGAAGACCACGTGGTCGGCTACGGCTTTAATGGAGCTACACAAGCGTGATAAAGAAACGTAAAGAAAGCCAGGGCCTTTAACGTTGAATGTTCGCCATGGCTCAGCGGCGCGGCGCAGATTGTATGTTTTGAGCAACATCAAATGAGCATCGACATCATTTCCTGTTTGGTTGTTCGCGTGACTCCCGGGGGACATACGAAGCTCGGAATATCTGTGAAAGCCAATGAAATGCGCTGGCAACTCAACTTGAGCCTTTTCAGGGTGATTTTTATTTTTCTGGTTCAAATTAAACTTGAGAAGCTTTGTGTTGTTGTTGTGAGGTGTAATAGCGCTACAGGATTAACCAAAGTACACGAGGCAGCGCATTTTTGATACTCGTAAGTTGATTACCTTCGAACCCATCAAAGAAATAAAACCAAGCTTAACCCGTGGAGGCATCTGCCATGCCAGATGTTTCTCTGTACATGCAGCATCTTACATACCGTGCGTCACTGATTTGTCAACAAACGCTGTTTTAACTTTGTGGAACTAACGTAAGGTCTTGATGTTCCAAGAAATACCGAAGCCAATAGGAGGATTCCCAACCACAATACTGACCGAGTGGAAAGACTGCCAAAGGCTTTCAAGGAAGAAATAATTGATTTGGCTCAATTTGGAGGATAAGTAGCTTGATAAGGTAGAATCAAATGCTGTCATTTAGTCATTCTTATAACTTAACATCTGACATTTGACATCCAGCACTTTTCAATAGCTTCGTCTCAGTATTATTTGGTCATTTTCTGTTATAAAGTCAAGCTACATTTTTAAATATATGGCAAGTTGCGTGTTCCAACTTTCTGGCTAAGATAATACTAACTTCTATTCAAACTGCCCATTTTATTACTGAAACAAAGTTTTTTGACAGAAAAAAGTAGGGTTGCCCTTTGTGGAATATGGACACATGAAACACTCCTCAACAATGCATCCAAAGTCTTTATAACTTCACCCTTCGTCACGAATTGTCGAAACTACGCTAAATTTTTCGATAAAATATTAACTGTTAATTATCTAAAATGCTGAGTAAATAAAATGTCATTTTTTTCCTTTCAACAGATTACGAGCAGTCCTAAACTGTAAGCTTAGTCCATCGCGTGAGACAAACATAATCAGCAGAAAAAAAATTATAATGATGAGATAGCCATGGAAAATGTTTTTTCTTTTTAAACGCCGTTTACATTTCACTCACGCCATGGACTAAGCTAAGAAAACTAGGAAGGTGTAAGATTATCTTTTCAGTCAATGATTTGATTTGTTTGTCTACAGTCCAGCGTCCTGTTTCATTTGATTTGATTTCACTTCGCCTATCATAATCCAACAATAATCAGGCTGGTTGGCGTGGATAACAATGATTTTGAGAAAATTGCCAGTTGATCGTTAGGGAATGAGTATAAACGTAGCGTAGTAATATAATTTGAGTTGCGTGTGACCGTGTTGGAGTCCTGTCATGCTCAGGAAATCATTTTTATGGGAACAAATAATCCGTCCGCCATTACCTCACGCATCAGTCACGCGACACTCTTAGGAGAGGGGGAAGCAGTATTTTACAGTAGGAGGGTCATATACTGGCGTCCTATTGACATTCCACTGCAAGATATATTATTTAATCATCACAAACAGGAGAGGATAACTTTATTCTCTCTCGTCTCTCTCGTCACACAGTACAACTTTTCTCCCTAATATAAAATCATACTGAAGTGGACTTTTTCATCACGTGGATTAAAAACTTTTCGCGGTCGCGTCCCCAACAAAAATTAAAACATCAGAAAGGAAAAATAACATCAAAAATACCACCTTATGTATTATTAAATAGACAATTTAAAGAGATTTAATGAGTATTACATGCATTTTGCACTAATCTGCGATAAGCAGGAAAACGATTAGAGGCCAAAGAGATTGCAGGATACCTTCAGTACATGCAAACGTTGTCTATTTTATTATTATTTATTTTCCACAAGAATGTGGTATTTCCTTTTCCCAGTTTACTTGTAAGTTTATCTTTCCAAACCTGCCGCCTAAATTTTTTTGTCGGTTGACGAACAATCTTAATATTCAGGCCTATGTTGTATCCGGTTTCCTCAGTCGCTTTTAGCAGCCTTCTTTCTACGTTGGAAAAACTCAAAAGTATAATGAGTTGGTTTATCTTATGTCACAGATGGTAGAATCCAAATTGACTTTGGCCCTCAGCTGAACCGCACGACTGCTAAGAAAATGGGAAATGTTTGGATTGTGAGAAAGACCAACTTACTGGCCGAAAATTTTGAAGACGCTGGCAACGTAGATAACAGCATAACTCTATATTGAGTGGTCGTTGTCTGATGGGAGAAACTCACGCAAACGCTGACTGTGACAACGTTACGATTATCCATGCAGCTAGCGCGTGACCGATGATAACTCATTGGGCCTTCTACTGCCGAGGTTCAGACATCAACTCTCTACACTGTTATTTGCAGAAAAAAATATGGCACAATCTTCTTAGCTTCATGTTATTTTGCAAATAGTTAGGCATCATTTGTATTTGTGGTTTAGAATGGTTTGCCTCCTTATTAGCCATGTGTCCTAGAGCAGAAACAAACACTTGAAGTAATGTAGAAGTAATCATAGGCTAATCGGTTTAAGTACCTCTTGTACCCAAGCATATTGAGTAATGGCTTAGTGATTCGTTTTAATTTTGCTTTCTTTTTCGAATTTTCTCCCTGTTTAGAAATACTTCATAGTAAGCCATGGAGTCCCGTCTCGAGTTTCGATTCGGTATTGATTTAGTGGAAGCTGCTCTAGCTCAACGCCAGTTCTTGATGCTCGTTGATGATCATTGAAATTTACATGCCGGTCCACACATTAAAAGGTATGCTCTGTTCCTTTCATGGACACTACTGAACGAGGAATTCTCGAGAAGAAGACTAATGGTATACAAGCAATATGGTTTTGTGACGAAATATACTGCTTTGTTATTTTCCCAGTCCAGAACTTAATACTCTCGACGAACTTTGCTCAAGACTAAAATTCCCACCAGGGAGGCGTAAAATGATTCAGAAGCTTGTAAATGTAAAGCGAAAGAACTTAGTGAACAAGTGAGAGAGGGTTAGTTGGTTTCGATCCTCCTTTCATTTTTCGTCCCCGGTTCTGTCTCTCTTGAGTATTCAGTCCTAATAGGGCTCTTTTTATCTAAAGGCAAAACTTCCCTCGGTTTTTTCCTTTTTTAATTTTTTGTTCACCCGATTCTCTCTTGGGAAGTCAATCGAGGACTGTTGTTATCTGAGGACAGAAAATTTAATTTTTTTCCTTGAGTCTCTTTTGGCGTGTGTTTTAGAAGCTGTTCCTTAATCACCGAGCATTTCTTCGCGACATCTCAACCATGCTAAAGAATGAATTGTGATCTTTGGTTCATGAAAATTTGAGCGTAATCGATGCGCTCTTAGCCTAATATGTACTATTGCTTTTGTAAGGTAAAGCTCGTCGTGGGTTCATAACAAGCACTCTTGCCTTACCCACTTCTATTTCCTTTAGATATGAACTTCTTTGGTTTCCTTTGCTAGCTCAGTATGTCACTCGTATCAAGAAATGGTCTATTGCTTTGGGTGTGGCATGTGCACATGCTGTCCCCTGTCGATTACCTGAGAGACTGCAATTAAATTGTCTCTACTCGGTAGGAACACAACATAATCTAAGAGCTACGCCAGAAAGGGCTTATAAAGGCCAGGCCCTGTTCGTTCGAAAGTTGGATAACGCTATCCACCGGATAAATCTTTATCGGGGGTATAGTGCAGTACGTTTGGCTTTCACTTATCTGCTGAATAGCAATGTATCCGTTAAATAGCGTTATCTGCCCTTTGAATAACTAGGCCCAGGGCCCTTTGGGGAGATCTGGATCCTGAGGAACCTTTCAAAGTTGAACTGACGGCCCCTGTTGATAAGGCACCAGATTTCAAATCAAGAATTGAGTATGATATCGAGGCTGCTTGTGCTCGACAGAGGGTTTTTAATTATCAGGTGTCCCTACCTCATTTTGCGGATAACAAATTCTTGATCGAAGCATTGGAGAGGTATAAATTACATCTTCATCTAAAGCAGTAAAATCCAGAAATGTGTTTTGTACCGTGCTATGACTTTGACCTTATTTAATGGCATATCAGGTTAATCCTGGGTAAAGTATTCGATCACAATAATGATTCGATTGAACAACCGACAGCCAGGGTCAAAACTAAGCAAGTAACACGAAAGGAATGGAAAAACCCGGGGCATTAATTTGAACTTAATGAAGCCATGTTTCGCAGAGAGCATCCACTTGGTTCACAGAAAGAATCCATTGATTACATTTTGTATGGAGCTTTTGAGTACACCGTAGACTTGACTATGTTGGAAGTTGAGTGTCGAAGCAATAAGATTAGAAAATACGGATCAATATCAGTATCTGGGCAACTGCCCACCTACCCCTCCCCTAACCCCAACTTGTTATCAACTGTCAACTGACTATTGTTGAGTTAGGGGAGGGGTAGGTGGGCAGCTGCCCAGATACTGATATTGATCCGAAAATACAAGTATACACATGGGGAGGTGACGAATAGCTATTCCCAAAACAATTCAAAAATTATTGGACGGTGTTGAGCGCAATATTTGTTTTTGGTGAGCTGGTCCATAATGATTTATCTGTGAGATACTGGCAGAACACAATGATTTTATTACTTAATGTCCAATCGTTGCTTTATTTTTCAATAAACGATTTTGTTTTGAAATAGTTCACATTCTGAGACCTTGTTGGTTTGAGAAAATACAAATACAAACTAGTTAAGTTTACGATTACTGATTTAAGGCAGATCCAGCGATACGAGTTCGCGAGCATCATGACCCTAATAGTTCCTATACCTCAGCCTGCAAATTCGAGGTCCGGTGAACAACAACTTCCTTTTGCAAAATAGATGAGCCCTGACAAAGGCTAACTCATGCCCTTGATGGCTTGAATTGCTAAGTAGACGATGAAAAACCTTGATATTGAGTGGTTAACGCTTGACAGAAGATAATCAATTCAAAGTTGACGTTGGAAAGGCTGGAATCCATCTCAGAAAACCAAGGCTCAGGGAAAGAGATTCACACAGGTAACGCGTAAACTTTATTTCTTACTATTTCCTTACTTATCATTTTTCTTCCATGCTTCCCGGAAACTTGAACCAGTTATATCGGGTAATCGCTTATCTTAGCTAAGTTTCTGCTCAGCAGAGTGTTTCAAAATGGCTCTTCGACTCTTTAAAGAACATCTCATACAGTTTTTCATGAAGAATGACAGTTTTGCCTGCATCATCTCGCATTTTTTCACTTTTGCGCAGTAATTTTTAGTAGTTAGTATCAAAGTCACGGGTCTTAATATCTGAGCCCTTTGGATAAATACCAATTACTATGTAGTTCTCACCACAGCATAGATTTATTGAAAGTAAATAATCCGAATTCTAAAAGTTTCAATGTCTGCATATCAGAGATATCCATTTTAGTCGAGGCGCTCTATCTCAATCGATTCGCAGTCAAAAACAGTTTCCAGTTTCTCTTTCAATATTTGAATTTTATTAATAGAATGAGACATTCAAAGTCAATGCAGAGACAAAACAAATTAAAGAGAGAATAATTATACTTTGTCTGTGTTCAGTTAGTTGTTCACCACAGTAAAAGTACAGTAGTAAATACAGCCATTTTTTCAAGTTTTTTCGCTGTTGATTTGAAAAAATAGAGCTAAAGAGGAGTTTTAAGGTTTTGGGAATTCGAAACTTGAACAAAACAAGAGTTCATTTTCTCAGTAAGTTTACGTATCCGCTACAGCGGAGTCATGCATTAAATGGCTTGGGTGGGTGGGAAAACAAAGGGGTCTTTGGTCAGGCCGCACCTGTCACCACGATAAAAGGCTCCCGTATATCAGAAATTACAAAGGACTTCGTGTTTGATTTAATTCACGGCTGACTAGTTTTTCATGTACTTTGAAGTTCTCGTCTCAGGAGAGATTTCCTTATAATTTTACTATATTTTGGTCTTCCAATTGATTTATTCTGCAAACGGAAAGGAGATTCACAGTTTTGACCTTTTAACTCCCAGATCAAATTTGTAATTCTCCTTACTGTCAACCATACAATTCTTATAGAGTTAGTTCAGAGAATTTAATATTGAATAAACCTATCATTCCCAAATTGATATTTTTCTATATTCTCATCACGTATCTGGTTGACATTGTATTGATATTGTAAGGAGAAATTCTGTCTTGGTCACTCATGGGAGTTAAAGTGTTAAACGAGGTAAGCGCTCTCAACGGAGTGCACTTGTGCACACCTCCATGATAAGCTTGTTGATATCCGAGTAATGACTTCGAACCGAGTAATCTGTCTTCAAACATCTCATAAAATACACTTCATGGCCCTCTCTGTATCGTTCAACTATTAATTTGCTATTCACAAGTACTGCGTAGTACTAAGTAGTAAGCGGAAAATTATACCTTGTCTGTATCAACGTGTGCACACCTCCATATCGAGTAACTCTATACATAGAGAGTCAAGTCAGAGTTGGTAATCAGTGGAAAGGATAAGATTGTTATAGGGAAACTAGGATCACTTTAGGAACATAATTTTCGGTATTAAGACGTGTTCCTTTTTTTCCTTTCGCTTACTGTTTTGAAACCTGAGAACATCGATATAATTAAGTGGGAACTTTCTGCCAACCGTTCAGCACCGTTCAGCACCGTTCAGCACCGTTCAGGATGAGAGCTTGATTATCATGTTAGTTAAGTTGCTGCTCATGGGGCTATTTTGAAGGGATCCAAGATTTTCTGAAGCACTTCCTGATATGTTTCTCACAAAAAATATCAGGTTTGACCATGGCATTTTCATTGATGCTACATCTCTCATCTCTGTTCAAGAAACTCGTGTTAGAATAGTTTGAACCTGTGGGAGATTGTTCCGTCGAGTCTTGTGTTTTAAATCTCTTAGTTCTCGATAGGTAAATTCAAAAGGGTTGGGGAGGAAGCCCTTCCTAATAAAGTAGGCGTAAACATTGGAAACAAGGCTCTGGTGAATCGACAAGATCGGGTCACGCAATTGCGAAGGTGACTAAGAATACATGCAGTGATCTACGGCGAACTTGATTTTTTGATTGACTTGAAGAAAGTTGCCGGCAGTTGATTGTGGAGAGGCCTGGATTATTTGCAGAAAAAACCGTGCGCAGCTCAGTGTAATCTTAATTTGGATGGGGAAATGTTTGTCTTTTCATTGCCATCAGTTACTGTTGTAACATCGATGCTTATTAGAAACTTAAATCATGTATCTACGCTTGCTGTTAAAATTAGGTTGAGCATCAAGTCAGTTAGCTTTCTTGTAACGAAAGTATTTCAAAAATGTTTCCAGACTCTCTATTTCACTCATAAATATGTTTAAAAATTAACATAATGCTGGTTTGACCATAGTATCTTGAAAATATAGCCACAGCTGTCATCTTAATTTGCGCGAAATTTTACTGTGGCTGAATCATAATGCTCTGCATCTCAGAGTGATTGTTCGCTGGTTGAATAATTTTAAATTGTTTCCCCCTTTTTTCCAATATCTCCTCTTAGAATGAATCATTTTGCAAGTTCTTGACCTGTGATTGCTCTAATTTTTAGGAATATCCTAAATTTACATCTTTAGACGAGGAAACCTTTAGCTTTTTTCATTTTTTACTTGTTTAGTAACCCTTCAAAGTAAGCCATGACGTTCTGTCCCGAGTTTCAATTCGGTATTGATTTAGTGGAAGCCGCTATTGCTCAACGCCAGTTCCTGCGGATCGTTGATGATTATCCAAGTTTATACGCCGGTCCACACGTTCGAAATGCAATCAGAAGGTATGCTCTGTTCCTTTCATTGACAGTACTAAACAAGGAATTCTTGAGAAGACTGATCGAATGCAACCAATTGTTTTTATTTCATGAAATCTACTGCTTTGCTATTTTCTCAGTAACAAAAATCCCTTTTGCCTTGACTATTTCCTTTTCCTTTAGATATGAACTTTTCTGGCTGCCTTTGCTGGCTCATATGCCACTCGTATCAAGAAATGGTTTATTCCTTTGAACGTCGCAGCACCACTTGACATCGCCTGGGTGTGGCATGTGCACATGCTGTCCCCTGTCGATTACCAGAGGGACTGTAATGAAATTGTCGCCACTTTGGTGGATCATAAAATACTAGTCGGTGAGCAACGTGATAAAGGGCTTGTAAAGGCCAGGGCCCTATGGGAAAAGGTGTATCCCGAAGAACCTTTTGAAGTAGACCTGGCGGCCCCTGTTTGCGACGCGCCAGATTTCCAATCAAGAATTGAATATGACATCGAGGCTGCTTGCGCTCGACAGAGGGTTTTTAATTATCAGGTGTCCCTACCTCATTTTGCGGGCAAGAGATTTTTGACCGAAGCAGTGAAGAGGTATAAATTGCATCTTTATCTGAAGCAAAAAAATCCAGAATTGTTTTTTGTACCGTGCTATGACTTTGATCTTATTTGGCACGCACATCAGCTTAATCCATTAATCTACACACAAGACACCACGGAAATCCTAGGTAAAGTATACGATCACAATGATTCAGTGAACGACCGACGGCCAGGCTCACAACTAAGCAAGTCTGAAACAGTAACACGAGAGAAATGGAAAAACCTGGGCCAGATATTTGCACTAAATGGAGCCATGTTTCGCGGAGAGCCTCCTCTTTGTACGCAGAAAGAATCCATTGATTACAGCTTGCATGGAGCATTTGAGTACACCGTGGACTTGACCATGTTGGAAGTTGAAGGTCTCCCAAAATCGAAAACCTACACTGTCAAAATTGAAGATGTCAATGGCTCGCAAGTGCTAAAGGTGCAAGTTCGTGGACCTGCTGCAAGAGTTACAAAATCTAATGGTGTGTTATCAAGGTTTGCATACAAAAAGAAGAATAGCGGAAATTTGAGGGTAAGTGTTCTTATACAATTTTTTTTCTTTAATGTTTTATTTCCATCCGGACTTGAAGCTAGCTTTTTAATAAATTATTGACAAAACTGACATACCTGAAGGTTTTGTATAAACGAATAATAATAGGTAGTCGTATCTAGCCACAAGTCATATTACAATCATAGGCTTTCCGCAGTGAGTAATCTTACTGAGGGTTGCCGAATTACTGAGAACATTAAGATTCATTGATGAAAAATTATAGCGGAGCTCGCAGAGCGTAGCCCCATGATTATACAAAACAGTAGTAACTCATCAAGCCGCAAAAATTTGGATGTACGACCGTACGACCGTACAAGGTGCTACTTTTGACATGCGTGGTTTGGTTTACTTTGTTAGGTTCGTATTCAGCAACATGGGACTTGCTCTTGCTTTTCACATTTACTAGACGAGTCTGCAGAGTATTACTTCTCAGCCGAATATCTGGCCTGGAGAGTCTCCTACAAAAGTAACGTGGTGCCTCAACCGGAAACGCACAAGTTAACCATTGCTGGAAACCTGATTGTTCGGTTTACCACTGTGGTGCATCCACCTCAGCCAGATGAATACATTTTCACAGTAATGCCAAATGGGGATTTCAGCCCAGTCCAAGATGCTGCTTCCATTTTGAGCTCACCAGCACTGTTCCTTTCGCCTTGTTCTTTGAACCAAACCCTGGCTTCCAGTGAAATGTCAATGCATCGGCTACTGGATTATTGGGGACGAGAAGCGTTTACCTGCCGAGTGATGCACTCCGCTGAGTTGCTGTTCTCCTCCGTAGAGGTCATGAACCGCGTCGGTAATGTTGTTAGCACCGCGCACCTTCTACGCGAAAATATCCTTCCGACGAAGGAGCAAGTCGGCAAGCCTGATTTTTGTTGCACTTTGAATGAGGCGGGAGGGATAAGAGCCATATTGATTAGAGGGTGCATAGACTGGGGCATCTGCATCGGCAAATGGAAAGGAGCTGTAAAGGGTGTCCCTGGTGTACCTGGAATAAAAGGGTCTGAAGGTAGTCCAGGTGTTAAAGGAACGCCTGGTGTGAAGGGCCAACCGGGTGATTTGTGCATCGAGTTCTTCTCATTGTCCGGAGCACAAGAGTGGAAAAGAGTGAAGAAACGGAGAGAAAACTTCAGGGTAAGTCTTAGCAAAAAAGAGATAGTGAACATAAACCTTCGGACTGGAGTGATCTCTTTTCCATCCGCAATAAGTGCCGTACCAGAAAGCATTGCACTGGGATTCTCTATAGCTGTCCTTCATCTTCTGTGTCAGCCTAACACTTCGACAAGAATGACCGACCACACGAAGCCATCAGTTATGGCGTCAAGCCTGGAAGACAAACCTCGCAGAATCCGTTGTGAAGACCTGGCGCTGGTAGTCGCAGCAGGGTTCTATGCCACCACTGTACCGAGCTACGCATATGTTAATTTCAAACTTGGGGATGCCTGTGGTGGCGGTGGTGGATGCGGAGGTTGTGGAGGATGTGGAGGTTGTGGAGGATGTGGAGGTTGTGGTGGATGTGGTGGCTGTGGCTGTGGCGGCTGTGGCTGAGGTTGTGGTTGTGGCTGTGGTGGCTGACGGGATTATGGCTTGCTTACTAACTAAGGATGAACTGAAAGGCTGAGGAACTGAGGAACGTACGTTTAAGTCCTCGAAAATAGAGAAATTTTTATGACCTGCCCCCACTGACATGAAACTGTGTTCTAATTTGAAAGTAAGAGAAATATCTTTAGAGAAGGGAACATGCCCGCATGAACCGAGTCTGGCGCATCTTTGGGTTTGCACGTAGTATTGAATAATTTTCTTTAACCTCTGTGCTGTTATTTCCAAATAGGACTATCACAATTATTTACCGAGGAACTTCGCCGTATTTCGGCAAGATTTTGCGAGTGTTTCTAGGGTACTCTTAAGTTAGATGTATAAGTCTAAGATTTATAAGACTTAATTAATTGGATTCAACGTTATTCTCTGGACATTAGCAAAAATATGATGTACTAACATAAAATATCCACTTGTATCTCGATTTAATGGTAAAGTAGAGAACACGCAAATATGTAATTTATAGTTGATTGTTACCCGATAGATGTTATGCTAACTTGTCGCTTAATCGAGAGTCGTGATTCACAAAGATAGAAAAAAAAATAATTCGAGAAGCACAAAGACATTTTTCTTGCTTTTTATTCACTAACGATTCATGGTTTTTCATGTAGTTTTACTATCCTTTACTTTATCAGTTAATAACAGTAGACGAATGTTTGACGCTGTCGCTGAAAATAAATCGAGGAAGACTGCGGTTATTTAGCGAAGTTTTACGCGATAAAATATTTTTTGGCTATATTTTTCGCCAGCATAGCACAATTGTTGCTTGGGATAATTTTTTCCTCGGACAAATATAACTCAGTTTCTACCTTCCAGGCCTCCCGTCAACCTGATCGATTGTTTCTCGTAAATATTTTATATGGATTGATATTCATGTCAGTTAAGTTCTTTTTTCGGGAGGATACCGGTATTTCGAAGTGGCTCTACAACTCTCTCTAATAGTTCTTGTTTACTTTCTCATACAGAACGTTTTTTCAGTTAAAACTTCCCTCCATTGTTAATTTGATGGTTGTGTGAATAGGTGTGGATAGCAGTAGATATGTAACGAATTTAGGAAAGTATACGACACTTTTAAAAAACATGTTTCGACAGTTCTTCTGTCATCTTAAGTTCTGTTTTATACAAAGTACAAAGTTGAATTCAAGGTGTATAAACCAATGCTGATTGGCCAAAACAAACAATAGAAACAGAACAATGTATGCATTTGCAAGGAAATGTTAATTTAAAACTTTGCGGAACTAACGTAATATCTTAATGTTCTAAGAAATACCGAAGCCCATGGGAGGATTGCCAACCACAATATACTGAGTGGAAAGACTGGCGAAGGCTTTCAAGCAAGAAATATTTGATTTGGCTCATTTTGGAGGATAATTAGCTTGATAAGGTAGAATCAAATGCTGCTATTCAGCCATTCTTGTAACTTAGCATCTGACATTTGACTCACATCCAGCGCTTTTCAATAGTTTCGTCTCAGTACTATTTGGTTATTTTCTGTTACAAAATCAAGCTACATTTTTAAATACGTAAGAAGCCGCATGCTCCAACTTTCTTGCCAAGATAATACAGATAATACGAGGTCCGGGTAATCGAGGTTAGACTGTAATAACTTCTATTCAAACTGCTAATTTTATTACTGACACAAAGTTTTTTGATAGAAAAAATAGGGTTGCCTTGTATGGAATATGGACACATGAAACACTCCTTAACAAAGTATCCAAAGTCGTTATAACTTCACCCTTCGTCACGAATTGTCGACACTACGTTAAATGTTTCGATAAAATATTAAATGTAAATGATCTAAAATGTTGAGTAAATAAAATGTCAGTTTTTTCCCTTTCACGTCATTATAGTCAGATCATGACGCACGAACCTTGTATGATTCACATGCACGTGGTGCACAGCAAGGAATACCGCGTCCTTGACAGCCTGAGCTAACATCAAAAAGTACCACCTTGTTTATTATCAAATAAACAATTTAAAGAGATTTAATGAGTATTACATGCATTTTGCACCAATCTGCGATAAGCAGGAAAACAATTAGGGGCCAAAAAGACTGCAGAGCCTGACAAAAGCTGACTCATGCCCTTAATGGCTTAAATTGCTACGTAGACGATGACGGACCTTGATATCGAATAGTTAATGCTTGACAGAAGGTAATCAAGTCAGAGTTGGCGTTGTAAAGGCTGGAATCTATCTCAGCAAACTAAAGCTCAGGGAAAGAGATCCATTCAGGTAACTTGAAAAGTTTATTTCTAACCTTTTCCACGCTTATCGTTCTTCCTTCCATGCTTCCCGGAAACTTGAGTCAGTTTTATCGAGTAATCGTTTGATATGGATAAGAGTTTATTTTAGTTAAGTGTCTGCTCAGGAGGGTATTTCAAAATGGTTCTTCGACTCTTTAAAGAACATCTCGTGCAGTTTCTCATAAAGAATGTTAGTTTTATCTGCACCACCTCGCATTTTTTTCACTTTTGCGCAAGTTAGTTTAGTTAGTTTCACGGGTCTCAATATCTGAGCTTCTGTCCCTTTGGGTAAATACTTAGAAATATGTAGTTCTCGCCATAGAATAGATTTATTGAAATTAAATAATCCGAATTATCAAATGTGTCAACGTGCGCGCATATTAAAGACAACCATCTTGGACGAGGCGCTCTATCTCAATCGATTCGGAGACAAAAAAAGTTTCCAGTTCCTTTCAATATTGTTCTAAGAACATGTGAAATTTATAAAGAAAATGAGAAATTGAAAGTCAATGCAGAGACATTAGAAAAATAAATTAAAGAGAGTTTAATAGGCTTGCTGATATCTGATTAACGACTTCGAATTAAAACCGAACAATCCGTCTTCAAACATATCATGGGGCACACTTCATGGCCTTCTCTGTATCGTTCAGCTCTTACTATTCATTGGTACTGCGTGGTGTTTACGACAAATAAAAATTTGTTTGTGTTCAGCTCCTTGTGTTCTACAGTAAGAGTATCTTAAATAACCTGTAAACGCAGCCATTTTTCAAGTTTTTCCGTTGTTGATTTGAAGATTGTGAAAAAATTTTGCAAAACAGGAGTTTGAAGGTTTTGGGAATTCGAAAATTGAGCAAAACAAGAGTGTATTTTCTCAGTCAGTTTACGTATCCGCTTAAGCTGAGTCATGCATTAAGTGGCTTGAGAGGGTGGGAAACAACGGCAGACATTGAGGGGTCTTTGGTAAAGCCGCATCTGTCACCTTGATAAAAGACTCCCATATGCCTACAAAAGACTTAATGTTTGATTTTATGGCTGACTAGTTTTTCATATACTTTGAGTTTCTTGTCTCAGGAGAGATATTTTCATAGTAAGACCATAGCTTGGTCTTCCAATTAGTTCATTCTGCAAACGAAAAGTAGATTTACAGTTTTAAAGAAGGTAAGCACTCAATCGAGTACGGGGCAGTATTAAAGACAAATTCCAATTTTCTCACGATATTGGTCTTGTGACATCATGTACTTTTGCGAATTATCAAGCCATCGAAGTAGAGGTCGGAAGAGTGATTTCGGAAATCTTAGGCGCTTACAGCAAACTTAAAACATTTTTTGAGGGTAAAGGTATCACCTCCCCAAGTTGTTTAAGGAATAGCTAGAAAAAGTCACTTTTAGAGCAGCACGCTTCTTTGTATTAGCCATGTGTTTTGGTGCAGAAAAAGACACACTGTATCACCGTGAGCACACCTCCATATCGAGTAACCTAGTCAGAGTTAATAGTCAGTGGAAAGACTAAGATTTTTTTAAGGAAGCTAAGATCAGAATAGAAACATAAATATCGGTATGAAGACGTGTTTTTTTTTTTTTTTTTTTACTTACTGTTATGAAACCTGATAACATCGATACAATTTAGAGGAAACTTTCTGCTAACCGTTCAGCACCGTTTAGGATGAGAGGCTGATTATCATGTTAGTTGAGTTGCTGTTCATGGGGATATTTTGAAAGGATTCCAGATTTTCTGAAGCCCTTCCTGATATGTTTTTATTATGAAAAATATCAGGTTTGACCATAGCATCTTAACTTATGCTACATCTCTCATCTTTGTTCAATAAACTTGTGTGGCTATCTTAGAATAGTTTGAACCTTTGGGTGATTGTTCCGTCGAGTCGTGTAGTTTGAATCTCTAACTTCTCGATATGTCAAATCAAAAGGGCTAGGGAGGAAACCCTACCTAATAAAGTAGGTGTAAACGTTGGAAATAGAATTCACTTTTTAACGGGATAAGGCTCTGGTGAATCGACAAGATCGAGTCACGCAATTGCGAAGGTGATGTAGGAATACATGCAGTGATCTACGGTGCTTCCTCCCCAAGCCACGTCGATAGCGAGTGGTTAAAGCTCGACAGAAGAAAGTTACTGGCAGTTGATTGTGGAAAGGCCTGGATTATTTGCAGATAAAAACTATGGCGCAGCTCAGTGCAATCTTAATTTGGAAGGGGAAACGTTTGTCTTTTCATCGCCATCAGTCACTGTTTTAACACCGATGTTTCTAACAAACTTAATTCATGTATCTACCGCTTACTGTTGAAATCAGTTTGAACATCAAGTCAGTTAAGTTTCTTGTTACGAAGGTATTTCAAAAATGTTTCCAGGCTCTCTAAAGCACTTATAAGTAAGTTTCTCATGCAAAATGATAATGGTTTGACCAAAGTATCTTGACTATAGTTATATCTGTCACCTCAATTTGCGCGAATTTTACTGCAGCTGAATCATAATGCTCTACATCTCAGAGTGATTGTTCGCTAGTTGAATGATTAAAATAATTAAAAACCCTTTTTTCTTGTATCTCTTTCAAGAATGAATTATTTTACAAGTTCTTGACTTGTGATTGCTCTAATTTTCATGCATATCCAAAAATTACATCTTTTGTCGACGTAACCTTAGGCTTTTTTTAATTTTCTCCCTGTTTAGTAACCCTTCAAAGTAAGTCATGACGTTCCGTCTCGAGTTTCAATTCGGTTTTCATTTAGTGGAAGATGCTCTTGCCCAACGGCAGTTCCTACGGATCGTTGATGATTATCCAAGTTTATACGCCGGTCCACACGTTCGAAACGCAATCAGAAGGTATGCTCAGCTCCTTTCATACACATTACTAAACATGGAATTCGTGAGAAGACCAATCGAATACAATCAATTATTTTGTCATGAAATCTACCGCTTTGCTATTTTCCCAGCGACAAGAAGCGCCCTTGCCTTAACTATTTCCTTTTCCTTTAGATATGAACTTTTCTGGCTGCCTTTGCTGGCTCAGTATGCCACTCGTACAGAGAAATGGTTCATTGCTTTGAACATTGCAGCACCACTTGACATCGCCTGGGTGTGGCATGTGCACATGCTGTCCCCTGTCAGTTACCAAAGGGACTGTAATGAAATTGTCGCCACTTTGGTGGATCATAAGATACTAGTCGGTGAGCAACGGTATGAAGGGCTTGTAAAGGCCCTATGGGAAAAGCTGTATCCTGAAGAACCTTTTGAAGTAGACCTGACGGCCCCTGTTTGCGACGCGCCAGATTTCCAATCAAGAATTGAGTATGACATCGAGGCTGCTTGTGCTCGACAGAGGGTTTTTAATTATCAGGCGTCCTTACCTCATTTTGCGGATAAGAGATTTTTGACCAAAGCAGTGGAGAGGTATAAATTACATCTTTACCTGAAGCAGCAAAATCCAGAGACGTTTTTTGTACCGTGCTATGACTCTGACCTTATTTGGCACGCACATCAGCTTAATCCATTAATCTACACAAGAGACACCACGAAAATCCTAGGTAAAGTATTCAACCACAATGATTCGGTGAACGATCGAAAGCCCGGCTCAAAACTTAGCAAGTCTGAAACAGTAACACGAAAGAAATGGAAAAACCTGGGTCATCAATTTGCACTTAATGGAGCCATGTTTCGCGGAGAGCCTCCACTTATTACACAGAAAGAATCCATTGATTACAGTTTGCATGCAGCATTTGAGTACACCGTGGACTTGACCACGTTGGAAGTTGAAGGTCTCCCAAAACCGAAACCCTACACTGTCGAAATTGATGATATCAATGGCTCGCAAGTGCTAAAGGTGCATGTTCGTGGACCAGCCGCAAGAGTAACAAAATCTGATGGTGTGCTATCAAGATTTGCATATAAAAAGAAGAATAGCGTGAATTTAAGGGTGAGCGTTCTTGTACTAATTTTTTCTTTCTTTAATGTTTTATTTCCATCAAGGCTTGAAACTAGCTTTTAAATGAAGTAGTATCATAATTGATACACCTGAAGTTTTTGTATGAATGAATAAAGATTGGTACTCGAATCTAGCTACAAAGTCATACTACAATCATAGGCTTTCCGCGGTGAGTCACTGTTGCCGAAGAAATAATACAAGATATCCACTGAACTAACGTTTTTCAAGCTGACCAACAGAGGGGTGCCGAATTACAGAGAACATAAAGATTCTTTGAAGAACAACCATATGAAATAATATCGCGAGTAGTAAGAGGCGAGCAGGTCCAGTATGATTTGACGTGTGAGACATGGGCAAATCACAAGAAATAGTAATAAGAAATTTTTTAGTAATTTTATCATCGAGTTTGTTTTTGTTTATCAATCATTGATCGCTTCAGATACGGTCAATCATTTTCCGTCGGAGAATGTAGCCAAAGGTAAGCATGAAGGCGAATAATTTGCACCAAGTTACACAATAAGTCGTATTACTTATGAGCGAACTCTAGTATGTAGGTGGATATTTTCAACTTTGAAAGTTGTTTGTTGGACGAGAGAAAGGAAGAATGGTTTGAGTAAAGAAATAGCAGTCTCGGAAAGGATTGTTTTCGTCAACCTATAAGAACTAACGACCTTTTCCTTAATTGAAATCTGGTTATCACCGAACCTTAAGTCACAGTCACGGACTAAAAAACTTTCCATAAGCTACCCCTTCCTAAAATATTTCATTGCACATAATGAATATGCATGTGTTTTTGGTTTACTCTGTTAGGTTCGTATTCAGCAACGTGGTGGGACTTGCTCTTGCTTTTCACATTTATTAGACGAGTCTGCTGAGTATTCCTTCTCAGACGAATATCTGGCTGAGAGATTCCCTTGCGAAAGGAACGTAGTGTCTCAACCGGAAACGCACGAGTTAACCATCGCTGAAAACCTGATTGTTCGATTTACTACTGTGGTGCATTCACCTAAGCCAGATGAATACTTTTTCTCAGTAATGCCAAATGGGGATTTCAACCCAGTCCAAGATGCTACTTCCATTTTGAGCTCACCAGCACTGTTCCTTTCACCATTTTCTTTGAATCAAACGGTGGCTTCTAGTGAAATGTCTTTGCATCGGCTAGTGGATTATTGGGAGCGAGAAGCGTTTATCTGCCGAGTGATGCACTCGGCTGAGTTGCTGTTCTCCTCCGTAGAGGTCATGAACCACGTCGGTGATGTTGTTAGCACGGCGCACCTTCTACGCGGAAATGTCCTTCCAGCAAAGAAGCAAGTCGGCGAACCCCAGTTTTGTTGCACTTTGGATGAGGCGGGAGGGAAAGAGCCATGTTGATTAGAGGGTGCAAAGACTGGGGCATCTGCATTGGCAAATGGAAAGGAGTTGTGAAGGGTGTCCCTGGCGTACCTGGAATAAAAGGGTCTGAAGGTAGTCCAGGTGTTAAAGGAACGCCTGGCGTTAAGGGCCAACCGGGTGATTTGTGCATTGAGTTCTTCTCATTGTCCGGGGCACAAGAGTGGAAAAGGGTGAGGAAACAGGGAGAAAACTTCAGGGTAAGTCTTAGCGAAAAAGAGATAGTCAACGTAGACCTTCGGACTGGCGTGATCTCTTTTCCATCCGCAATAAGTGCCGTACCAGAAAGCATTGCACTGGGATTCTCTATAGCTGTCCTTCATCTTCTGTGTCAGCCTAACACTTCGACAAGAATGACCGACCACACGAAGCCATCAGTTATGGCGTCAAGCAGCCAGAATTACAAGACTCGTAGAATCCGTTGTGAAGACCTGACGCTGGTAGTCGCAGCAGGGTTCTATGCCACCACAGTACCGAGCAACGCATATATTAAGCACGAACTTGGGGATACCTGTGGTGGCTGTGGTGGGTGTGGAGGATGTGGAGGATGTGGAGGATGTGGAGGTTGTGGAAGTTGTGGAGGATGCGGTAGCTGTGGTGGATGTGGTGGGTGCGGGGCATGTGGTGGTTGTGGTTGTGGTGGCTGCGGGGATTAAGGCCTGTCTACTAACTGAGGATGAACTGAAAGGCTAAGGAACTGAGGAACTTACGTTTAAGTCCTCGAAAATGGAGGGATTTTTATGACCTGCCCTCACCGACAAGAAAACTGTGTTCTAATTTGAAAGTAAGAGAAATATCTTTAAGGAAGGGAATATGTCTGCATGAACCGAGTCGGTGCATCTTTGGGTTTTTGCATAGCACTGAGTAATTTTCTTTCACCTCTGTGCAGTCATTTCCAAATAGGACTGTCACAATTAATTACGGAGGAATTTCGCCATATATCGGCAAAAATTTGCGAATTTTTCTGGGGTATGGAAGTCTGCAAGATTTAAAACTTAATGCGAACGTACCTATGTACATTTTGAAGACTCGCAGTTCTTTGCTCCCAAGTTTAAAATGTTTCATTTAATTGGATACAAAGTTATTCTCTTGACACGAGTAAAAAAAAAAAAACGATGCAGTATCTCGATGTAATGGTAAAGTAGAGAACACGCAATTATGTAATTTACAGTTGATTGTTACTCGATGGATGTTAAGTTAACTGGTCGGTTAATGAGGAGTCATTACTATAATGATAGAAAAAAAATCTCGTGAGCACAATGATATTTTTCTTGCTTGTTATTCAGTAACGATTGAAGGTGATAAATGTAGTTTCACTATTTTTCAGTCTTTACTTCGTCAATTAATAACAGTAGATGAATGTTTGTGAAGTTGTCGCTGAAAATAAATCGAGGAACACTGAGGTTGTTTAGCGAAGTTTTATGCGATAAAATTTTTTTGGCCATATTTTTCGCCGGCATAGCACAATTATTGCTTGGGATAATTTGTTTCTCTGACAAATATAATTCAGTTTGCATTTTAAATAGCCGAATAGCTGCTGCGCTAATTTTTGCATCAATTACAGACCTTGATTGGCAAGGACTATATGGAAAGATTAGGATCAGGAAATTGAAGCTCAGGAAGATCCAGGCAATTGATAAATTTTTTTTTACTCTTCTCTTACTCACTGTTCTACCCTCCAGGCCTCCAGGAAACCTGATCGACTGTTTCTCGTAAATATTTGATATGGATTGATATTCATGTTAGTTAAGTTCTTTTTTCGGAAAGATACCGGTATTTCGAAGGAGGTCCACGACTCTTTATAGCATATCTTGTACAGTTTCTCATACAGAACGTTTTTTCTGTCAGAATTGTCCTCCATTCTTAATTTGAAGGTTGGGTGAAAATTTACTGAAACAGGAGTTTATTTCCTCAGTTTTCCGTGGTCATGCATTGAGTGGTTTAGAAAACAACGGTGGATATCGAGGGGTCAACACTTAAAAGAAGACAGTCACTTCAGAGTTGACTATCGAAATATTAGATTTATTTATGGTTAAAAGATGAAAAAAAAAAAAAAACGAAAGTGGGCGTAAATTTTGGTAGATATACTTTCCCCTTTCCTTAAAACCTAGGACAATTGTTGCTAGAAACTCGAATCAGTTGTTTCTTTAGCTAACTGTTGATATTAGACGATCATAAGGGGTTGCTTGGGAAGACAACGTTTTTGGTTGTTCGCATGACAACTGGGGGACATACGAAGCTCGGGAATATCTGTGAAAGCCAATGAAATGCGCTAGCAACTCAACTTGAACCTTTTCAAGGTGATCTTCATTTTTCTGGTTCAATTAAACTTGAGAAGCTTTGTGTTGTTGTTGTGAGGTGTAATAGCGCCACAGGATTAATCAAAGTACACAAAGCAGCGCATTTTTGATACTGGTAAGTTGATTACCTAAGAACCCATCAAAGAAATACAACCAAGGTTAACCCGTGGAGGCATCTGCCACGCCAGATGTTTCTCTGTACATGCAGCATCTTACATATCGCACGTCACTGATTTGTCAACAAACGCTGTTTTAACTTTGTGGAACAAACATAAGGCCTTGATGTTCCAAGAAATACCGAAGCCCATGGGAGGATTCCCAACCACAATACTGACCAAGTGGAAAGACTGGCGAAGGCTATCAAGTAAGAAATAATTGATTTGGCTCAGAACTTTGTTAACAAGTGGGAGAGAGGTGGTTGGCTTCGATCCTCCTTTTATTGTTTTTCCCCGGTTCTGTCTCCCTTGAGTAGTCAGTCCTCTATGGGCTCTTGTTATCTGAAGGTAAAACTTTTTTGGTTTTCTATTTTTTGTTCACCCGATTCTGTCTCTCTTGGGTAGTCAGTCGCATTTGGGCTGCTGCTATCTGAAGACAGAACTTTTAATCTTTTTTCTACTGGTTCTCTCGGGTCTCTCTTTGCGTGTGTTTTAGACTGAGTGTTCCTTAATCACTGTGCATTTTTGTTCGCGACACCTCGACGATGCTAAAAAATAGGTTATGATCTTTTTGTGAAGATCCTGACAATTTGAGCGCATTGACAGAAGATAATCAAGCCAGAGTTGACGTTGGAAAGGCTGGAATCCATCTCAGAAAACTAAAGCTCAGTGAAAGAGATCCATTCAGGTAACTGGTAAACTTTATTTCTTACTTTTTCCTCGCTTATCGTTTTTCCTTCCATGCTTCCCGGAAACTTGAGTAAGTTATATCGAGTAATCGTTTGATATTGATAATAATTTGTTTTTTAGTAAAGTTTCTGCTCAGGAGGGTATTTCAAAATGGCTCTTCGGCTCTTTGAAGAACAACTCGTGCAGTTTCTCGTAGAGAATGTTAGTTTTACCTACATCACCTGGCATTTTTCTTCTTTTGCGCAACAATTTCAGCAGTTAGCTTTAAAGTTACGGTTCTTAATATCTGAGCTTCTGTCACTTTGGGTAAATAGCTATTAAGATGTAGTTCTCACCACAGAATAGATTTATTGACATTAGATGATCCTAATTCTCAAATGTGTCAACGTACGTGCATATCAGAGACAACCGTTTTAGACGAGGCGCTCTATCTTAATCGAGTCGGGGTCAAAAACAGTTTCCAGTTTCTTTCAATATTGTTGCTCTAAGAACATGTGAAACTTATAGAGGAAATGAGACATTGAAAGTCAATACAGTGACCTTAGAAGAACAAATAAAAGAGAGTTTACTAGGCTTGCTGATATCTGAGTTATGACTTCGAATTAAAACCGAACAATCTGTCTTCAAACATTTCATAGAACACACTTCATGGCCTTCTTTGTATAGTTCATTGATTTGCTATTCACATACATACATACATATATATATATATATATATATATATATATATATATATATATATATAGATCCATACATAAACATATGTGCGTAGTGTTTACGACAAATAGAAAGCGGAAAATTGTACTTTGTTTGTGTTCAGCTATTTGTTTTCAACAGTAAAAGTATTTTATATCACCTGTGAACACAGTTGCATGACGAGCCTTGCCCACAGAAATTGACAAGCCTACGGATCATTTTACGCTTCCATGGTGGGAATCTTTTTCTTGAGCAAAGCACGTCGTGCTTTTTATGTTTTTCATGTTTTGGTCATTTTGAAGAAAATGACCAAAACAGTAGCTTGAAGGTTTTGTGAATTCGAAAATCGAGCAAAAGAAGAGTTCATTTTCTCAATCAGTTTAAGTATCCGCTAAAGCTGAGCCATACATTAAGTGCCTTGAGTGGGTGAGAAAACAAAGGCAAACATCGTGGGTCTTTGGTCAAGCCGTATCTGCCACCTTGATAAAAGACTCCCACATACCAGCAATTGCAAAAGAACCCCCATCCCCCCTTCGCCGCTTAGCCAGAAATCCGTGACAGCATGGCCGCCACGCACGCGCATCCATGACGAACTTGGTCCCAGGTTAATAACGAGTCGCAAATTCACTACAAGGAAAACGGTGCAATTTCAGCTAACCTTCTAATATTTGCTCTTGTATTACAACCACCGGAGGAGACGAGCTCTTCCAGCTCGCAAAATAAAGAAGATTATATGTACAACCTTTTGCTGCGTGCTCCATGTGCATTTGGGTGTTAAAGCGGTTCCCAAAGCGATTGCTGTTGGACGCATAAATCCTCGCAGTGCGCCATAAATTTTATTAATAATGGTCCAAAGGTAGCATAAATTGTCTAAAAAATCTCCCCATTTTGCAGGTCTTCCCGATCGAACTGTTTTGTTCACATGCTAACTTCATTTATAATGCAAAATTAGGAGCCATTGAAGCAACTAAATCGGTTCCAAATTTGGTGGAAAAATAGCCCAAATACCGCTGAAGAATCCAAAATGCGACGCCCTTTTTAAAGTTCGAGAAAAGTTACAGGAAAACGCCATTTTTTTGTTGGCCGTAAACCGTAGCTTCTAGCCGAATCGTCCTCCATCTTAAATCCCAGAATGCTTTATTTGGCCTTGGTAACCTTGCCTTTGATAAACAATCGCTAAATACCAAGTTTGAGGGGTTACATTAAATTCAGTTTCAAACTGTGTTCAGAGTACATATGTCTGACTATGTCAAGCAAAACAGTGACTTTGACCTCATCACTGATAAAATCAAATTCAAAATCAATGGTGACGGTGCAAGAATGACCCAAAATCCAAATTTATTTTACTTTCATTTACTATTTTGCAAACAGAGGAGTCAAGTATGTCTGCTAACGAAATAGAACTCTTGGTATAGTCCATGGAACTGAGAGTTACCACACAATAAAAGAGTCATTTCAGAGTTTATTCATCGAGGTAAATGACTTGATTGCCACAGGTAAAATGAATGTGGATGGCCAAGACTGAATTCTATCTTGGTGGCAATTACAAATTTATTTTAAAGATGCTTCGACTCAAGGGGGCAACATCCAACTATGCTTGTGCATGGTGTAAAATACACAAAACTGTTAAATATCCCACTTGATCATATAGTGGTAGATGAGCTTCACTTAATGCTAACAGTTACAGACATTTTGATTGGAAATCTGGCAAAACAGAAACAGCATTAACTGTGGTTGCAATCTGGACAGAGTTTGCAGAAATTTACAAAATCCTCAATGACCGGAACCTTGAGAAAGACCCCACAGAATTTTTCATGAAAGCCAAAGAATGGATTTCTCTTTTTGTCAGTCTTAATGGCAAAAGAGAAGGGTATGAGAGAGCCTGAGTTACCCCATACATGCACATCATGGTTACACACATTCCCAAGTTCTTTGAGCTCCACAAATCAGTCAAAATATTTACAGGGCAAGAGGTTGAAAAGAACAATGATGTAGCTCTTGCAATAATTCTGAGAAAGTCCAACAAGTGGGATTCTGCAGGAGATGTTCTGCAACAACAGCAATGTCAGTGGGAGCTTAAAGAACACAAGCAGGAAGTATGTAGTTACACAATGTGCAAGGAAAGCTGGGGATATTGAAATTAAAGAAAACTGAAAAAAGGCATGAGTAAAATTAGTCAAGATCCTCTCCAACAATCAAGCAAAGCTCAAAATGAACTTCCCCTCTGTGAGTCCACTACGACTTACACTAGTTTTTCTCATATAACACCAAAGCAATTGAAAAACAAATAAAAGAAGAGAAATGTTAAAGGATTCAGCAACAAAAACAAGGCTGAACTTATCAAACAACAGGAGGAAATTTGTCAATAAAAAAATATGCAACATTTAGTATTCTGGGAGCATGAAATGGCTTTAGTTACTCTAAGGGGGACTCCCTTACACATTCAAAATTATGTTAACAAACTCAAAGGAAAAACTACATAATGAGCAAAGAGTGCAGTGAAAAGAAATTCCAAGCAAATTCATCACTGTGGATTAAGCCTAGGGTTACTAGATAGGGGCCATTTTTATTTTGTACATTCAACTCACCTATTGGTCATATTCTTAGCAGCTCTTGCATTCAAGAAGAACTCCTAAAAGTCCCTAAAGCCATTAGAGTGAATTTCATTTTCAGTAATACTATAATATCTATGATTAAATAGTTACTGATTGGCAACTGAAATAAATTGAAAGTTTCTCAGTTAACATTCTGTGATCTTCTTTAATTTGCCCATTTATAACAGAATATTTTTTTGATGATTTGGATGTTTAGCCCTGACCCAATCCCCACTAAAATCAATAACCCTATCCCAGTTTTTCAGTTTATTACACCCATTTTGAAATCACTGGTGGTCCCTGTAATCTGATTGGCTCTAATTGATGCAATTTATTCACAAATCGCACCATTTTTTGCTTTAAATTGCATCTTTTTTCCAGCCAATGAGGTGGCTAAACTAAAAAGAAAACAACCAATCAGATTTCAAGGCTTGTTTAAAGTAACCAATCAAATTGCAGGAAAATGAAAGACAAAGAGTATCATGTGGCAAATTTTGCAACTTTTATTTCCAAAACTCTTACTTTTTCCCCCCAAAAAAAGGATGAATTTAATTTCAGACCGGTTTAGTACTGCATCAATAAAATATTTTAAATTACCACGTCCTGTATTTTGGGCAATTTCAAAATGGATGCAATAAAGTGGTAATTGAACCTCATGTCGTG